TGTACCTCCATAGTAGTAACCCACCAGTAATAACACGTGTACCGTCATAGTAGTAACCCACCAGTAATAACACGTATACCTTCATAGTAGTAACCCACCAGTAATAACACGTGTACCTTCATAGTAGTAACCCACCAGTAATAACACGTGTACCTTCATAGTAGTAACCCACCAGTAATAACACGTGTACCTTCATAGTAGTAACCCACCTGCAATAACAGCTGTACCTTCATAGTAGTAACCTACCAGTAATAACACGTGTACCTTCATAGTAGTAACCTGCCTGTAATAACACGTGTACCTTCATAGTAGTAACCCACCAGTAATAACACGTGTACCTTCATAGTAGTAACCTGCCAGTAATAACACGTGTACCTTCATAGTAGTAACCCACCAGTAATAACACGTGTACCTTCATAGTAGTAACCTGCCAGTAATAACACGTGTACCTTCATAGTAGTAACCCACCAGTAATAACACGTGTACTTCATAGTAGTAACCCACCAGTAATAACACGTGTACCTTCATAGTAGCAACCAACAAGTAATAACACGTGTACCTTGATAGTAGTAACCTGCCAGTAATAACACGTGTACCTTCATAGTAGTAACCTGCCTGTAATAACACGTATACCTTCTAGTAGTAACCCACCAGTAATAACACGTGTACCTTCATAGTAGTAACCAACCAGTAATAACACGTGTACCTTCATAGTAGCAACCAACAAGTAATAACACGTGTACCTTGATAGTAGCAACCAACAAGTAATAACACGTGTACCTTCATAGTAGCAACCAACAAGTAATAACACGTGTACCTTGATAGTAGTAACCTGCCAGTAATAACACGTATACCTTCATAGTAGTAACCTGCCAGTAATAACATGTGTACCTTCATAGTAGTAACCCACCAGTAATAACACGTGTACCTTCATGGTAGTAACCTACCAGTAATAACACGTGTACCTCCCTCGAAGTAACCTGCCTGTAATAACACGTGTACCTTCATAGTAGTAACCTGTCAGTAATAACACGTGTACCTTCATAGAAGTATCCTGCCAGTAATAACACGTGTACCTTCATAGAAGTAACCCACCTGGAATAACACGTGTACCTTCATAGAAGCAACCTTACAGTAATAACACGTGTACCTTCATAGTAGTAACCTGCCAGTAATAACACGTGTACCTTCATAGTAGTAACCCGCCAGTAATAACACGTGTACCTCCATAGTAGTAACCTTACAGTAATAACACTCCGTCTAAACGGTAGCATTCCAAAGTATAAATAATTCAACATTATACCACATCGAAATGCTACAGATCGTGATTTTCAGTTTTGATCACATTTTGTTCGCATACACTATCCCAATGGCTCTTTCTCTCTCTTCAGCTGTTCATCGTGGCATATTTCTCATACTTGTGTATCAGATCATGTCTTCTAGACTCTCTTCATACGCTATAGAATCATTCTTCATGTGAAATGGAGGCAAATACTGCTTGAATATTGCTACGTTTTGGCGATTGATATTGCAATGTGTAAACAGAAAATGGAAAAACGTTACTTTGCAAGCAAATATGTTAACACAGATAATTTTAGATGTTCTTAAACATTTTTCCTCAATACCAAAGACACGTTTTACTTGTTTTCACTAATAGAAATCAGCAGAAAATGTTTTAAAAGACTGAAATCACAGGAATGATTATTTTACAATATTACACACTCTACAACAGTTGTTTCTTGTTTTAATAGTTAAAAATGGTGACTTAAAATGGTTTATCATTGCTCCCAAGCAGAATTTTATTTCAAACTTTCTTTTGGACATCAAAATCACTTTTGTTGGTTTATTTCGGAATGGACGAATATAGGACAATTTAACTCGTCTGAAAAAGATCCATTTCACTCAAATATGAATGCATTTGAGAATGTTTTTTCGTGATTTGCATTAAGCTGTGTTGTTAAACTTTCTTGTAAACTAAAACCTTCTAACATATCTTTGATAGTTTTTCAGAACTTCATAAAGGTAGGGGGGTAACGTTTCTTTTGGCGTCTAGTGTATAATGAAGACATTTTACGGACGGTTGTAACGCTTCTGCAAATGGTGAAATGTGGTTTAACGTCGTACCAGAATATTTCGCTCATATGACAACGTGCAAGCATGTGTATGTGTGGATGCTTGTATTAGCCCAGACTTAAGCTGGTTTTATAGTGCTAGCCTACTGAGGTACCATGCCGCAGTTAAGCATGAATTCCCCACTCAGACACATTATATTGACTCCGAGCCGACCAGTCCTTGTTGTACCCATTTAATGCCGAGCGCCAAGCAGGGACCAACAAGTACCATATTTTAACGTCTTTGGTATGAAGCGGCCGGAGATTGAACCCGCGACCTTCCGCTTTCCGGGCGGACGCTCTAACCACTACACCACGGAGGCGGTCTACTGCAAATGCGTAAACCCTGCATAATGTACGCAGAATTATTGATAAAGTATTGCTAAGTTAAGTATTTTTAAATCCACACAACTTTGAAAAGAAATAGAACTGATATACAATTCCACAGTCATCTTTTTCCTACCTGATCCCTCAACAACTGACAGTCGGGGAGATGAAATTGAATTAAAATTAAGGAAAATATTAAAGTTTTTCGAGGGGAAGATTGTTACTTATGGTCTTCTTTCAGGACTGAAATGAGTTAATGTAACATCCTCTGTCATAAGGAAATAGTAATAAAATTCCCAAAGCTTGGTTCAGAGCGTCCGCCCGGAGAGCGGAAGGTCGCGGGTTCGATCCCCGGTCGCGTCATACCAAAAGACGTTAAAATATGGTACTTGTTGGTCCCTGCTTGGCGCTCGGCATTAATGGGTACAACAAGGACTGGTCGGCTCGGAGTCAGTATAATGTGTGTGAGTGGGGTATTCATGCTTCACTGCGGCATGGTATCTCATTGGGCTAGCATTATAAAACCAGCTTCAGTCTGGGCTAGTACAAGCAGCCGCACATACACATACACACGCATGCACGTCGTCATATGAGCGAAATATTCTCAAGCACGACGTTAAAACCAGTTTCACCTCACCTCACCTCACCCAAAGCTTTGTTTGTGTGCAACCCCGGCCCTGCCGGCCTACTCTTGTTTTGGGTACACAAAGTAGTTGAGTTACACTGCCAGTTGTTAGACTTCCATTTTCGTGGAAGCCTCTATGGCTAAGTGGGATAGATTGCTGACTGTGTGCGTTGGAGATTAGGTGACTCACTCTAAGAATGTTGGTTCGACTCGACATTCGACTCGAACCTACAACAGAATGTCTTACCGGGAAGCAGACATTTGTTTTTACAGTAAAAATCCTTTGATGTTGGTTGACTGTGCATGTTGTTTTAAGGGATTAACTTTCTGGGTTGTTGTTACAAACATCACAAATGTCTACTTCCCGGTAATAAAGCACCTACAACAGTACTAGAATCAGTTATATTTCACCACATTCTAAATGACATTGTGTATTCGTCTGAAGCACACGTAAAATTATCGCTAACTAAGCATTAACTTCTGCCATCTTGTTACAATTGTAAGACATTGTTTTCACAAAAAGCATTTATGGTAGACAAAATTAGCCTGGCAACTGTTATTGTCTAAATGATTGTACTTGTTTTGTTTTTCTTGTTCTCATGTTGATATCTGCAAATGGAATATCTATATATGTGCTTTGGTGCAATTGTAACTTGCTTTGGAGTAGCGAGTGAGTGAGTGAGTCCAGCAATATGACGGCGGGGGACACCGGAAATGGGCTTCACACATTGTACCCATGTCGGGAATCGAACCCGGGTCTTCGGCGTGACGAGCGAACGCTTTAACTACCAGGCTACCCCACCTCCCCATTACCCCATTACCACCAATGTTTGTATTTTTATAAAATCTAAATTTCGAAGAATGAGTATTCAGTTTTTGTTGCGTGGCATTAGTGATATAGGTAAAACACAACTAACAAGTTGGACGCAGTAGACAGACATAAAGTGCTTTGGGGCCTCACCCCAGGGTAATGGCTGTGAACGTCTGTAAAGATGCATGTAAATAACATGAGTAACGTAAAACAAATTAGTCCTAGGGAAATCCGATTAAGAAAACAAGCATTAATTTGATTTATTTTTAACTTGACAATATTTTGTTTTTATTGCCTATTTATCAAATATCAGTTTATGAGGTTTGACGTTACTGAACTAAATTTATTAGTTAATTGGTCTACAATTGGTGTAGGTGCCTCAGTTGGCAAATGGTGTTTTTTCCCTTGAATGTTCATGGAAACACACTACGTGCTTGGCGTTTACAGGTAAGGAATGGAAGGTTAAAGACATGGGACTCGCAGGTTAATGTAAGATAAGAAAATATATTTTCAGTTGCTCGGGCACATTGTCAACACTTCTGGCTAGAGACTGACATTTTTGTGATCTGATAATGGCGAAAGAAACGAATCCGAGCCTTTACCAGATGTTCAATTGAATAACGAAACGAAATTATAGGGACATTTGGGCTCAATGGGTTTCCCGACAGGTTAATAATTTAAGTGGTTCCTCGGGACAAGAAATACACCTGGAGCAACGTGGTGAATTATTGAGATATATCTTTACAGTAACGTGCTAAAGGGTTCCCTAAACGCTGTATTCCAGATAAAGCTGAACAGATTATTTTAATACGTTTTTTATGGCTCGGAAATGATAATTGAGACCACACCTTGAATTTACATAACATGTCCAGTTATATAAATACGGAATCTATGCCGACAGATGTCTCGATGTACACATTTGAAATACGTCCAGGTATGTCAGACTTAAAGTAAGTTTTTCCATAATTGCAATAAATGCTGGGTAATAATAGAACATTATTTGGGCATGGCTCATTTTCTGTCAGTTTATTGTGCACATTTCATTCTTGTCGTAAAAGCAATAACTGCTCCCTTCTAACTGCTGATTGGTTACTTGTTGTGACGTCATTCATAGTATATAAGTGCTTTGCTACTTCCGGAGAGTTCATTTCTGTGTTGACACTCACAAGGAAGAGAGTATGTCACGTCCTACTGATCCGAATTTGACAGCAGGTATAAATCTCGTTATTATGTTAAACGTTTTACGTGAGTCTTTTGGGGCAAGTTTTCTTATCCACATATTGTTCAGTAGTTTACCTTCCACCGGCGAGTTGTATATGTATTTCCTTAGAAGGGAGGTAACTCTAGCAAGATATGCAGAATATCCGAAGCTGATGCTTTTTCAGTACGTGTAATGCAGTTCGAGTTCCATAGGTTGGAATTGTTTGCGGCATCGATTGAAATGTTATTGAAAATTTGATTATTTTTTTAGCATTGATATATATGTATACTGCTGAAGGAAAAGCCTACATGCCACTGCATACGGTAATTCATTGTGAGTGTTAATTAAGTTACCTGCGATATTCATTTCAATATGAATACACAACTGGATTATCGGGTTAGTCGTAATAATTAAACGGCCATAACCATATTATATACATGTACCAATCTGGAAGTAATTTTTATGAAAGGATCAATAGAAGCATGCATGTTTATACCACGGTCCTCATTTTCTTGCACATATTGATCTAACTATTATAATCACCGAAAACAGCTTCCACTAAGTTCCAGCTGTGTGAGTGAACATGTAGAAGCGTTGCATTATCAGATAATCATAATCTGATAATATATGGAAAGACATACACTCACGTAACCTTGATTTGTGGATAAATTAAATGCACAATTTCATGGTATAGTGCAGCGGAAATCATATTTTAAATGCACAATTTCATGTTTGTATACTCACTGATTATTTTATTCATTGATTCAGCAAAAATCTAAAATGCCTAATATTCTTCTCATAAATAAAACGTTTTGTTTACCAAAAATTAAAAAGTGATTTGCAATCATTACCCATTCATATCACGAGAAAGGATGGAGACACACAAAATGTGGGCGTCACATTGTTTCGAGGATTATGTAGTCGGGACTTACAATATATGACTATATCGACAGCCCATTGCAGTAAGTACTGACACTATGAAAGCAGACGTTGAGATGTGACAAGGTTGGAGCTAACAGTATCTTTTTTACTTGACATTTTATAAAAATACAATTTGGTATTGGTGGCATTAGTGTTCTTGGGCTATTTATCTCAGTGCTGGACAATTAGATTAAGTGTATTTACGTGTAATGCGGAGATTTGGAACATTTTTGTCAGCGAGGCGTGGCACTTTGTGTACATCAAAAGTACCGCTTGGTGACGTCATACAAGACTTAATTTACAAGATAGAATGATAATTACCTCGATCCACGAATCAAGGTTATCTACAAATTTAGATTACCAACAAATCCAAATGAAATCTAGGAATTCCTGAAATATAGGCACAAATCGATCTTAGTGCTGTGACAACCGTACCTTTAATACTTTAACAACCAATACTTTAACTTTGTTGTTCCAAGTGTCGCTGGTGGAGAGCAGCAGCCGGCCAGGCGGGGTGAAGCTGGTCAGTGCTCGCCATGCCAACAAGACCTCCGACCCCATGGACCTGGTGGAGCTGGCCATGCAGGTGCAGAAGGTTGGTTCTGTATACATGACTGGGCCTGTATTACATGTCCACCATATTCACTGTAGTAAGTGCCACAGAGTGTGATGGGTGGCTTATTAAACATGTAAAAATGCTTCATAATATGTAAAAAAAAATTTCAAAAACCAAACCAATGTGTCGAAATTGACAAAACTATTTTTGATAATTATGATAATACTCGCTTGGGAGTTAAAATGCACAAGAAAATGTGGATAGTTTTGTCTAGTTTAGGGCACTTTTTAAAGATCACTTTGAGACTCATATAGAAGTTATGCAGGGCTGTTGTCATGCTTGGACAATACAGTGAATAGGGTATGCCAAAACTAAAATGTTGATTGTTTCAAATATGTTTGAATTTTCCCCCCAATCTTTGATCACCTGTTATCATGGTAATTCAAGTGTAAACAAGATATTGACCCCACTGCACTTATTGTTGCACATACAACCAATGAATAATCAATTAATAATCAGCTATTTTAATTTTTGATGGGAAGCTTTATACAATTTTAGGAGTTTGGGTGGTAAAATATCATCCAAATGATTTTTCGTTTTTCTTCCAAACAATGAGGGTTATCCACACTGATGATGATTTTGAATTTTTCTAAATGTTATTAAAATGAGACACCAGTTATCCCAGATACTCCTGGTTGCCTCAATGCCAGGGAGGCACCTGTTTTTTTTCACCTTGTTCACAAACTTAGACATCATATGTAACTGTTTCTCATTTATATCATTTAGTGTGGATTTTATTACGAACGTAATTCAGAGCTACAGATAACTTTTTGGGTCATTGAGTTATGTACTCGCTTGTGTTCATTTCAATTGGGTATCCTGATTTTCCTTTGAATAACCAAATAAATTGTACCCACCTCACTCAAACTCAATTGGGGGTACTTTGCCATTTTCAATTAATTGTAACAATATATTAAGGTTTAAATGTTAGTTAACGTGTTTGTTATTTATGTTTGATCTGTAATATGAGAAACGATAAGAAAGACTGCAAGTTGCCAAGTTTATGTGCTGAAATAGAACCTCAAAATATACCTCAGTTATTTTATCTATGCACCGGTACGCAAGCTGAGATTTGACGTTTTTGTGTGTACACATATGAGATCCCTTTTATTAAGTATTTACAAAAAATCAAGTGTACTTGTACACAATAGTCTTAATGGAATTGAGTTTTCACATAAATATTTGCGTAATTTACACAGATACGCAGCTTATCTGTTCCGCTGGTAATTATTTCAGGTTAAGTAGATGTTTTGTGTCTCTAATGGCAGATTCTTGATTTCAGGCTGATGAGTTTACTCGAGCTAACGCTGGGAGCAAGTTGACAGTTATAGCGGACCAAATACGGTATCTACAGGAACAGGCTAGAAAGGTATTTTTGAGAAATTCCTGTCAAGATATTGTTCCTCATGCAGGACCTTACAGATGTCCCTACGCATACTTTGAAACATGTGACTGTGTTTTGGAGTCCCACCTAGCAAATGATATGTTTCTTGGATTGGCAGCTATACATGTGCTCACTGGTTTCACCATAATGGTGTACACCTTACACCAATTTCAGACTCTCCTTCACAAAGCTGGGGCGGTGGGGTAGCCTGGTGGTTAAAGCGTTGGCTCGTCACGCTGAAGACCCGGGTTCGAATCCCCACATGGGTACAATGTGTGAAGCCCATTTCTGGTGTCCCCCGCCGTGATGTTGCTGGAATATTGCTAAAAGTGGCGTAAAACCAAACTCAGTCAGTCAGTCACAAAGCTGACATGCTGTGATATGACCATGATGACTGGAATACTGTTCAAAGTGGTGTAAAACAAAACTCACATTACAAAAATCCTTTTCTTAACTACATCAACTGTAAAAGTGAATTTTGTTCACATGTGCATTAAAAAAACATCTGTTGTTTATCCACTGACATTGTCAACGTATTCAAATGTTATTCTACATATTTTATAATTCATGATGTGAGGTCTGCGTAACAATCCTTGCTTCATTCGATTCAAACTTTGATATTGTTCCCTTCATGTCTCATGCAATTAATCCTGGTAAACTTGTTTTTCATTGATCATATATTTTCCCAAGATAAGTTTGAAAAATCATTAATCAACAGATTTTTGCTTATGGAGTCATTGTCTTTGTCCTTTCCTAAAGATGCTCTTTTCATTCTGGCTACACTCCAGAATGTTTACCTGGAGTTATCTCCCTTGGTCTGTCAACGTCCTGGCTTATAACAAGTTGGGGGATGGAATAATTTGTTACCTATTAACGTCCTAGCAGTATCATTGCTGCCACCAGTTAGCAAATGGAGTAAGAAGAATCTTGAAATTTCCCCTCATATCTGATATGCTGTGACGGAAATATTTCAGGGTAAATCTCGTGGAATGCCATTCTTGCCAAAATGGTCAGTTAGGGAAAGATTTGGACTGGTTTACTATTCCCCAAATGAAATTACATTTTTTTTGTGTGTGTGTTGAGATTAGTTCGAGATTGCAGACTAATGGAAAAGCACCATAATATCTGTTGAGAAGGATTGGTTTGTGTGCTGACAATGGTCATTTTGTGGAGAATTTTTCTGTTGGAACAGTTTAAATTTAAGAAAATTTCCAAGATGCATTTATGCTTGCACTGGCAATATTTGTTCTGAATTGCACTGATTTCAGGTGTAACTGATCTTTGTCACATTGTTGCCATACTTTCTAATGATATGACCAGGTCATGGTGATGGTGGAAATAGAATGGAAATTGAGACACACAAACCAAAGAATTTAGCTCGGGCAAGAGTATTATGTGGCATGATAATGATCACAGTCAAGGCAACTGCAAGTCCAACTCCTTGCATTGTTAGAGGCTACTGATCACTGTAGGGAGCTGTGTCTTGTGGAAGTGATGGTTCAGAGAGCTCTGAGTATAGGCTATTGCTGAGAGGAACTTGCTTCAGCGAAATAAGTAGAAAATAGCCGTAGTGGTTCGTTGTGTTTTAAATGACCCTTGAACACCCAGGTTAGTGCTGTTTTCAGCAACACATGCATCTGGTGGTCAGACTCAATTAAATCCAGATTGACCTCATTTCAGTGGACTATTCCTTACAGGTTGTTCAGCTTGACCTGAGCTACTCTACATATGCATGACCCGAGAGGTCAATGGCAGAAACGGCTGGTTGAGTTAACTTCATTAAAAAGGGGAGCAGGGAATGTTGTTATTGTTGTGTTCGTGCGAAACATGCAGACATGGATTCGTTACAGAACTTGTCCTGGAAAACAACACTTCTGAAAAAACAATTCAATTAAAACATGAATTGTTTTTACAGTCATATGCTATCTAGTCTGGTTTACTAACTTAACGATGTAAAGTCAGTTACTTTCAGAATCCAGTTCACTCTCGCTATCACTCTCTCCACCCAGTTCAATTATCATTTTTTTCTATCGACCTTGTCTTGGCTGTTCGGACATGTTGACAATCTGCTGACAAAGGCCCACCCCCTTCACAGTAATAGACCCAACCAGTTGTGACATGGTCTTGCAATGCATTAGTATTCACTTGATCAGGTCAAGCTGAACTACCTGTAGTGCTGCATTAAGAACAAAAAGGAAAAATGCCAAAAAATATGAAGCTGCAGGTTATTTTTTTACAGAATTAACAATTAGATATTGTTTGTTTCCAGGTGTTGGAAGAAGCTAAGAGGAATGCTCTGCTCCATCACGTAGCCTGTAACTTTGTGAAGAAGCCCGGAAACACATATTACCTGTTCGAGAGACACTCAGGACAGAAGTACTTCTCCATATTGTCACCACAGGTGGGTAATTGTTGTAACCATGGTAACATATTACCTGTTCGAGAGAGACTCGGGACAGAAGTACTTCTCCATATTGTCAACACAGGTGGGTAATTGTTGTAACCATGGTAACATATTACCTGTTCGAGAGAGACTCGGGACAGAAGTACTTCTCCATATTGTCACCACAGGTGGGTAATTGTTGTAACCATGGTAACATATTACCTATTTGAGAGAGACTCAGGACAGAAGTACTTCTCCATATTGTCACAAGGGGGCAATTGTTGTATCCATGGTAACATATTACTTGTCTGAGAGAGACTCAGGACAGAAGAACTTCTCCATATTGTCACCACAGGTGGGTAATTGTTGTAACCATGGTAACATGTTACTTGTTTGAGAGAGACTCAGGGCAAAAGAACTTCTCCATATTGTCACCACAAGGGGGTAATTGTTGTAACCCATGGTAACATTTTGCGTGTTTTAAAGAGAGTAAGGGCAGAAGTACTTCTCCATTTCGTCACCACAGGTTGGTTACTGTTGTAACCATGGTAACATATAACCTGTTTTAAAGAGACTCAGAGCAGAAGTACTTTTCCATTTTGTCGGTAACTGTTGTAACCATGGCAACAAATTGCCAGTCTGACAGTACTCTCTATGTTTTCCTCGAAGACATCTGTTTATCCATGGTAACAGAATCTGATATTACCTGTATGAAAGAAGTAGATTTCAAGGCATGGCCAAGAAAGACAAGTCACTGAAATAACCTGTGCCCCACATTTTGTATGTGCTTATACTTGAGGATTATGTTTTGGTACTTACTGTAAGTAGACTTACACAAGGTTTGGATGCTTATGCTTTTGTCTCTTGAAGCAAGTTTGATTCTTTTACCAAAGAGATTTTGTCGCTTGCTCTCTGTGAGTCTATGAATGCCATTGTTTTGTATTCAGCATCATTGCGATGCATGACAAGTAACAGCAAGTGTGGGCATAAAGCTTTGTTAAAGATTGAACTAAACTGCACTCTTGGAAAATGTTTTATATATTTTTTTCTCATCATGTATATATATATATATATATAGATATTTATTTTTTCAAAGGAATGGGGTGCTTCATGTCCACATGAGTTCCTGGGCGGTTTCCGTCTGGAGTACGACCAGTCCTGGACGCCACTGGATGATGTTGAACGACGAGGAGAAGAAATTGCCCTGATAGACAAAATCCTGAATGCACAGCAAGCTATAACTGACAGTGTCACGCCCAACTTCAGTGGCTTGACAACCCAACCACAGCCCAGCTCAGAGGCAAAGATAACAGACATGTCGCAGAAGGAGGACTAGGCAATCTCAGCCAGCCGAGGTGCTTGCTATCTTCCTGTTACCAGACTAAAGAGTGAACTTTGGACAGACTGGTCACTAGTTCACTGGACAAACAGAAGCAGTGGTTTTTAACATTTTAAATGACCAAATGTTCATTGAATCATTGTGTTGGTTCAGTAATGAAAGGATCATGATTCAAAGTGTCTCTGTGTCCAAACTGTTTGAATTTCCCAACCAAAACTTGTTATATAATGGACTTTTGTATCAGTATGGAGTATTATAAACTGAACTTTAGACAGAAAGACATTTTACCAAACTCGGGGTGCGATTATTTCAATCAGCCAGGTTAGAGAGCCTTGCCTCCAGAACCTGTTATTTGTCTCTTATAACAAGCATCGGTTCCTGAAGATTAGCCCAGATCTTTGCAGGTCTTACTGTTAAGTTATCAAATCTGATGGAATACAGATAGGATGATTCAGTTTGAAAGAATAATTCTGAGAATATCTGGCACTTGAAACAAACAAATTATAAACTACTTATTAATTTGTCTGTTTTGAGGTGTAGTGTCTTATGTGACTAAACCTTTGTATAATCCTCCAAACTATCATCTCCTGTGTGTAGGGGCGGTGGGGTAGCCTAGTGGTTAAAGCCTTTGTTCGTCATGCCGAAGTCCCGTGTACATGAGTACAATGTGTGAAGCCCATTTCTCGTGTCCCCCGCCGTGATATTGCTGGAATATTGCTAAAAGCGGCGTAAAACCAGATTCACTCACTCACTCACTCTCCTGTGTGTAACTTCAGCAATGCCAATGTCGTTGATATGACAGACAGCTCCTGCATATACATATGTAAGCATGGGTTATCCCCCCTTATTATGTGTGGTGAACTGGGATACGTGTAAGGTTACTTATGAATAGATGGTAACATCTATTAATAAAAAAACATCTGGTGTATTTTCAGTACTCTTGTACTGTGAACTGAGTAATTTGTGCACCTATGACAATCTGGGTCAGAATTGGTTTTCAATTACCCTTGCTTGTCGTAAGAGGCGACTAAAGGGATCGATTAGTCAGGCTTGCTTACTTGATTGACACCTCGTCGTACACAAACCAAAGAATTTACTTCGGGCAAGACTATTATGTGGCATGATAATCATCACAGTTAAGGCTACTCAAGTCATTGCATAATTGCATAGATCAATGTTCATGCTGTTGATCACTGGATTGTGTGGTCTAGAATAGATTACCCCATGGAGATGGAATATTGCTGATGCCGTTAAACAACAAACAAACAAAGTGATTTGTTTATCTCAGGAATGAATGTTTGTATTGATTTATATATATAAGAATCTGTTTCTCAGCCTCGGAGAGACACATGTGGCCAAGTCACTGCTATCACTGGTTGTAAGAAATAATGAAAATTGTTTGTAAAAGTCTAAACATACCCATTCAATTATCTTTCAGTGTCTGTCAGTTTTAATGTGATTTTATTGAAGAATGTCATCATGTTCTCGCAATGTTTGACTCATTGATATATTTTCTTACTCTTAAATATAATTTATTTTACAGACATTTACATGTAAATAATGTTTGAAGAATTGAGGATGCTGTTTGCATTTCAGTGTAACCAGAGAAAAATTCTACATGTTTTGTTTCATTTGGTATAACAATGCTATGATACAGAACGGACATCAGTTGTGTCAAATACATGTAGTGGACTACAAGAGAATGATGTCACATCTCACACAGGAGTCTTCATGGTTGTCAGAGGAGTATTCATGTCCAGATATCGAGGACTTGTAATCTTGTATATAGGAGTAAATAAACAGTATAATATATTTAAGTGGAGTTTGTTTTTAGGAGTGTTTTTTATTTGATGGCCATGTTAAGTGTTGTCAGTTGGAGTTGAGGTCCACAAATCTAAAATATTAATCATCAAGCTACCTATATCAGGTAAGTCACCTGTTTACTGATATGCCTGTACTTGACTAAACCTTTTACTCATGAAACATTAAATGACTCCGCTTTTTATTCATATACCTGTACTACGTATACACTTAACTGTTTACTTACATACCTGTACCAGACACATCTGTTTACTACATGCAGTATACCTGTACTGGGTCTTTATTGTTTATATGATGTATACGTCAACCAGACACATCTGTTTATTCATATACCTTTACTACACTTAACAGTTTCCTTGCATACCTCTACCACACACCTCGGGCGGTGGGGTAGCCTAATGGTTAAAGCATTGGCTCGTCACGCCGAAGACCCGGGTTCGAATCCCCACATGGGTACAATGTGTGAAGCCCATTTCTGGTATCCCCCGCCGTGATGTTGCTGGAATATTGCTAAAAGCGGCGTAAAACCAAACTCAGTCAGTCAGTCTACCAGACACCTCAGTTTACTAATAAACCTGGGTGGTGGGTTGGCCTAGTGGTTTAAGCGTTCGCTCGTCACGCCGTAGACCGGGGCATTCCCCACATGGGTACAATGTGTGAATCCCATTTCTGGTGTCCCGTGCCGTGATATTGGTGGAATATTGCTAACAGCGGTGTAATATCAAACTCACTCACTAATATACCTCTACTACACTTAACTGTTTACTTACATACCTGTATCAGACACATGTTTACCTATATACCTCTACTACACTTAACTGTTTACTTACATACCTGTATCAGACATATGTTTACCTATATACCTCTACTACACTTAACTGTTTACTTACAAACCTGTATCAGACACATATGTTTACCTATATACCTCTACTACACTTAACTGTTTACTTACATACCTGTATCAGACACATATGTTTACCCATATACCTCTACTACACTTAACTGTTTACTTACATACCTGTATCAGACACAGTCATATGTTTACCTATATACCTCTACTACACTTAACTGTTTACTTACATACCTGTATCAGACACATATGTTTACCTATATACCTCTACTATACTTAACTGTTTACTTACATACCTGTATCAGACACATATGTTTACCTATATACCTTACCATATACTACACTTTTAACTGTTTACATTTACATACCTGTATCAGACACAGTCATATGTTTACCCATATACCTCTACTACACTTAACTGTTTACTTACATACCTGTATCAGACACATATGTTTACCTATATACCTCTACTATACTTAACTGTTTACTTACATACCTGTATCAGTCATATATGTTTACCTATATACCTCTACTACACTTAACTGTTTACTTACAAACCTGTATCAGACACATATGTTTACCTATATACCTCTACTACACTTAACTGTTTATTTACATACCTGTATCAGACACATATGTTTACCCATATACCTCTACTACACTTAACTGTTTACTTACATACCTGTATCAGACACATATGTTTACCAGAATACCTGTACTACGCTTAACTGTTTACTTACATACTTCTACAAGACATATCGGTTTACTTATTTACCTGTTCTACACATAATTGTTTACCTACACTAACTATTTTTGTCCAGTATATATTCAGAGACTAAGCATTAGTCTAGTTCATATTAACACCACTTATTTCGTTCAGGAACACACGCAGCGTTGTAAATAATATTTGTCACTACAATAAATATTGAATGTCGGAATGAGAACGCCATCTGTTTACATATTAGCAAACAGCTTGGGTATATTTATTAACGCGATGATCATTGCCCTTTGATATGTAACCATATGGAATAGGCAATGAGTTTAACGCTCGTATCATCGTTCGAACATGTTGTTCGCCCCGCATGTGTCTGGTCTGAATTATGGCGCTTTTTCTTGTTGAAGTGAAGGGAAAGTTGAAGAAGGTCGTAGACATGTATAACTTTGGTGACACCCAATAACGCGAAGCTGGTGTTGAGAGACATCGTAGTCTGGAATTGTGACCGGGTTCCGTTCTCCACATCGGCGCAATGTGTGCTGTCAACATTATTTAATGCGACATTGATTATATTTGAAAAGTCGGAAGGAAGTGTTCTGATGTAATATGATATATAAAATGTGTTGCAAATGACTTTCCGATAAACTCCTACCAACCTACCTTCTTACAACCACCAAACCAGCATACTTACATAACTACAGAACCTACTTGCTGTCCAATCTACTCACCAACCTGCCAACTTACCTTCTTTCCAACCTACCTACCTATACGTACATACAGGTATACCCAACGTACTTTCCAATCATTTCACCAATCAACCGCATAATATACGATGTACCTACCTACAAACCCACTGCCCATTTGGATACCTACCCACATACGAATTTCAACTCATTAACCCACATTCCTACTTACCTACCTACGTATGTACCACTTACCTGCCTCTCATGCCCCCACACGCCTATCAACATATTTAGCACCAACATTCCTAGCCTACCTACCTGCTTCCTACCCACATATCAACATATACCCATGCCAATAATGGTTGTCACCCTCCCCACTCCCAACCCCACACACACTTCCACACCCACACCCCACACCCTCTCCAATAAAAAAATTGTGGGTGACAACTGTTATTGGTATGAGTATATTTAGCACTAACCTTCCTAGCTCACCCATCTACTCTCCTACCTACATATTTACTTCCCAACCTCCTGCACCTACCTACATATTTGACACTCCAACCTCCTAGCGTAACCATCTACATCCTACCTACATATTTACCTCCAAACTTCCTAGCCTAAACACCTACTCTACATATTTTATTTCCTCCTGAACCTCCCTAGGCTACCCTTCTACATCCTACCTACATATCTACCTCCAACCCTCCTAGCCTATGCACGTACCTACATATTTACCACCAACCTTCCTAGCCTACCCACCTACTTACATATTTAACTCCAACGTCCCTATCCAACCCACCTACCTCCTACTTACATATTTACCTCCAACCTCCCTAGCCTACCCACCTATCTCCTACCTAGATATTTACCTCCAGCCTCCCAAGCCTACCCACCTACCTACATATTTACCTCCAACCTCCCTAGCCTACCCACCTACCTCCTACCTACAAATTTACCTCCATCCTCCCTAGCCTACCTACCTACATCCTACCTACATATTTACCTCCAACCATCCTCGCTTACCCACTTACCTCCTACCTACATATTTACCACCAATCTTCCTAGCCTACCCACCTACCTCCTATCTACATACTAACCTCCAACCTTCCTAGCCTACCCACCAACCTACATATTTACCTCCAACCTCCATAGCCTACCCACCTACCTCCTACCTACATATTTACCTTCAACCTTCCTAGCCTACCCACCTACCTACATATTTATCTCCATCCTCCCTATCCTACCTACCTACCTCCTACCTACATATTTACCTCCAACCTCCCTAGCCTACCCACCTACCTCCTCCTACCTACATATTGGACTCTCCAGCCTCACTAGCCTACCTCCAACCTACCTCCTACCTACATATTTACCTCCATCCTCCCTAGCCTACCCACCTACCTACATATTTACCTCCAACCTCCCTAGCCTACCTACCTCCGACCTTCATATTTACGTTCAACCTCCCTAGCATACCCAACTACCCACATATTTACCTCCATCCTTCCTAGCTAGCCTACCCACCCTACATCCTACCTACATATTTACCTCCAACTTTTCCTATCCTACCTACCTACCTCCTATCTACATATTTATTTCTCCAACCCCTCCCTCTTACCCACCAACATCCTATTCTACATATATTTACCTTCAACCTCCCTAGCCTACCCACCTACTCTACATATTTACTTCCTCCAACCTCCCTATCCTACCCACCTACACCCTACCTACATATTTACCTCCAACCTCTCTATCCCACCCACCTACCTACATATTTACCTCCAACCTCCGTATCCTACCCACCTACCTACTGCCTACACATTTACCTCAAACCTCCCTATCATACCCACCTACCTCCTACCTACATATTTACCTCCAACTTTCCTAGCCCACCTACCTAAATCCTACCTACATATTTACCTTCAACTTTCCTAGAATATCCACCCAACTCCTACCTACATATTTACCTCTAACCTCCCTAGCCTACCCAACTACCTCCTACCTACATATTTACCTCCAACCTTCCTAACGTACCCATCTACATCCTACCTACATATTTACCTCCAACCTCCCTAGCCTACCCACCTACCTCCCACCTACATTTTTACCTCCAACTTTCCTAGCCCACCTACCTACATCCTATCTACATATTTACCTCCAACTTACTTGGCATACCCACCTACCTCCTACCTACATATTTACCTCCAACCTCCCTAGCCTACCCACCTACCTCCTACCTACATATTTACCTCCAACCTCCCTAGCCTACCCACCTACCTCCTACCTACATATTCACCTCCAACCTCCCTAGCCTACCCACCTACCTACATATTTACCTCCAACCTCCCTACTCTACCTACCTGCACCGACCTGCATATTTACGTTCAACCTCCCTAGCCTACCCAACTACCTACATATTTACCTCCAACCTTCCTAGCCTACCCACCTAGCTCCTGCCTACACATTTACCTCCAACCATCCTCGCCTACCCACGTACCTCTTACCTACATATTTACCTCCAACCTTCCTAGCCTACCCATCTACATCCTACCTACATATTTACCTCCAACTTTCCTATCCTACCTACCTACCTCCTACCTACATATTTACCTCCAATCTCCCTAGCCTACCCACCCACCTACTCCTCCTACCTACATATATTACCTCCAACCTCCCTAGCCTACTCCACCTACCTCCTACCACCTACATATTCA